GGATCAAAAGAAAATAAGAATGAGTGAGTGATAGTGAAAGAAATGATAAGAATGAATTGCAATAGTTTTCCAATGGAATTTTAGATGAAAATTAAAGATTCCAATGACTATTTTTTCAAGGGTTTTTTTTACCTTTGAAATATGCAATTTCCATTGGAATTTTTATTTCCACCCATATTTCAACCGTTTGGAAAATCTATTGTTGGATTCATCAGAATCCGACGGAAATTTCAATGAAAAACTCATTCCAACAAAATATTTTTGTTAAAATTTTTGTTGAAATTTATCATTTTTTTGAAGTGTGTGTATCTCGTCGAACACTATTGTGCATTCTGTACCGAAATTATTATGATATATTTGTGAATATTTAACGTATACTTTACTCATCTTATAAAAACACAAAACAAAAGAAGTAGAAGAAAAGGAAAGAAGAAGTAATTGCTACAAAGATTTCATCAACATTAGAGTAAAAGGGACAAAAGGGTGCATGTTAGTAATCTTTTGGTGATTTTATCCTCTAACTATACTTAAAGTATCTCTACCTACACATTTTTATTCCTATCTTTCACTAAATCTCTCTATACTTCAAAAAATTCCTTCCATTGTTGAAATTAATGTAGGAGACGATGCATTCATTATTTTCTAAGTATATTTGATCAACCGGTTTTATTATAGATATAATATATGTAGGAGATATTGCAATTAATGTTTACATACAATAATAACACATTTAAGTATGGAATCTTTCATATATAGATTTTAATTTTTTTGTTTTACTTCTACTTAAATAAATCAATTAAATTTTGGTAGAATACCATATTATAAGATATAAATTAATCAATAAATTAATACTCAAATGTTAAAGGCATTAATAAACCAATTATATTATTTCCTAATATATGTAGGATAAATTGTAATTAATATACACGTTTATAGAGTTTGTTATGCATTCCATAATTTTTAACTGAGTAATCAACTAGTTTTATTATTTCCTAATATATGTAGGAGATATGTAGGAGATATTGCAATTAATATTTACGTACAATATTAATACATTTAAGTATGGAATCTTTCATATCTAGATTTTAATCTTTTTTTTACTTGTACTATAAATTAACTAAAATTTGACAGAATACCATATTATAAGATATAAATAAATATATACAATTAATAGATACATACGGTACCCGTGCGATGCAATCTTCCATGAATATAACAAGTACATACGGTACCCATGCAATGCAATCTCCAAATTCAAAATTAATTGAAAATTTTAGTTTTTGGTGACGATGACTCGCCGCCAAATCAAACAAAAAACGTTGTGTACAAAGAAGTTTTCAATAATTTATGAATTTTGTAGTTTGCGCCCAATGTGTTTACTTTTGTTACAAATATAACAAGTTCATTAAATTTAACATTTAATATTAAAAAATATACCATCCTGCAATTATATAGAGGGGATGATGAACTAAGGCAATTTCTTTATTTTTTTTTCTCTTTCTTAAGCGTCTTGGTTTTGTGTAAAGCCCAATTGTGCGGAAATATGACCATCAAACACAACTGAAAAAATGGGTTAGGCCCAATAAAATCTTTCTTCCTTATGTGGTTCCTATCAAAACAACGAGCTTCTATTTCTTGTGCAAGGACCATTCTTGAAACACTACTCACAAAAGATACTGATTNTCTATTAAGGTTGTTCGAACTCGAAACCTTCTTCAATCTTGTAGCATATCCTCCAAGATAATATTTTTCCAAGGTAAGGATGTGTATTATGCTATACGAATCGCGAAGGTTCCCGCGGAAAATTTCGGGGTTATTAATTTTTATTTGGGGTTCATATTTATCTATTTTTTGGGTGTTCTTTCTGATAGTAATCGTTCGAAAAGATCTCTTTGTTGATAGGATGTGTTCTTTCTGATAGTAATCGTTCGAAAAGATCTCTTTGTTGATAGGATGATTGCATTTTCACTCTGTTGGGTATGTAAATGTCCGATTTTGGGTGAGCCCTTTTCGTATTTAGCTCAGAATTGGAGCTGAAAATGGCGAACGACTGCATTTGGCAAAGGTTGTCATATAGCTATTAGTTGAGCATTTGTTTTGAAATCAAATCAGTTGAGTGACTAAAGGGTAATGATGGTGCCAAGGAAATTTATTTAGGAACATTATTGAAAAATCCGAACTATTTCCATGTCCAATTTTTGGTTCCGGAAAGGGTATGCCTGTCAGTTACACACTGATTACTCCGACCTGTGCTGGAAAATCTATATATTGATAATCTATTATTAGAGTATTTCTTATCTACTCCATCTAGTGGTGTTTTTTATGTTTATCATTCGAAAAATATCTCCTTGTCGATAGCAATAATTGTATTTTCTTCTGTTTGGAATGTCAATGTTCGATTTTGGGTGGGCCGTTTTCATATTTAACTCAGAATTGGTAGCTGGTTATGGTGATGACTGCATTTGGCAAAGGTTGTATCACATACCTATTAGATGAGCATTTGTTTAAAACAAATCAGTTGAGTGACTAAAGTAGTGATGGTGGTGCGAAAGAAATTTATGTAGGAATATTAATGAATAATCCGAACTATTTCCATGTCGAATTTTTGGTTCCGGAAAGGGTATGCCTGTCGAGTACCCGATTACTCCAATGCTTGCTGGAATTATGTTAATAAGCTGTTGTTAGGGTGTTGTTTTTTTCTGCAGTTGTTGATTGAATGGTGTTAAATGTATCAGATGGGTGCTGTCAATTCGGAGCTAGAAGAGCTATTTCAGGACAAAAAGCATGTGAGGAATCCCCTCGTCCCAATTGGTAAATTTCTGATCACGTTTATATGTTTTACTTTTAAAATTCGGGTATAAATTTACAAATCCATTTATTTTTCCCTGAACTTTTGTGTTTCTTGTGCTAGTAAAAAGACATGCAAGTGCAGCACAACATTAGATATATTTTTACTTTTAATACTATCTGTGTATAGTTAAATACTATGAAAGCACCAAGTTGCGAACTCAATCTTTTTCAGTTGAGGTGTAACNAAAAAAAAAAAACGATTATCCAGAAAAGTAAGTTTGTTACGACACTCTCTGTAAGCACGAGATATTTTCTGGTAGCTGTTATGTACCTACGATGCGTTAATTAAGAATATTCATCCAAAATTCAAAATCAAGAAATTTCACTTCTCAATATCAAAAGTGACGTTGTGTAATGTATGTATACATATATGTATTTATGTTTGAATACACTCAAGGAGCGTTTGTGCATTTTTCAGGTGCTTTTATGACGGCAGGGGTGCTAACAGCCGGTCTTATTAGCTTTCGGCAAGGAAATTCTCAATTGGGTCAGAAATTAATGAGGGCTCGTGTGGTTGTGCAAGGCGCTACAGTTGCACTAATGGTCGGTACAGCTTATTACTATGGTGAGAAATTTTGAGTACTCGATTCCTTGTGACAAACAATGCTTTCCAGAATTTTTTTCTTCTTTTTTTTTTAATTGTCTTAGCTTCTTGTATTCCGAATATTTGAAGAGTGCACGATTTTCTGTGAGTATTTGGCCAAATGCTTATGTATACAAATGCTTGATTTGTGCTGTAGTTGTTACAAATATTTAAGGTTTAATGATTAAGAATATATGTTTCCATTGGTTATGTAATTGATGAATCCAAACATACCAAGTTAATTAGACAAATTCTACTTGTTTTTTCACTAGCTTTGAGTTAGTAGGAGCCAAAGCTTTCAAATGCCTTGCAAAATCAGTTTTGTTTAATATCAGACTACTTACACCACTACATTGCACAGCTGCTGCAAAAAATCAAGTGATTAAGTGAAAAACTACCCACATTGGATCAAAGGTTAACAAAATAAAATATGATTTGTCGATTTCGGATGAGTGACTTATTGATAATTTGGTGATCGATCGATAAGGATATACTTGTGTATAAATAATTTTTTTGTGTTATTAAGTCCACACTAAATTACATTCTCCAGTTATACTTTGACCCATTTCTGAAAAGAAAAAAGTTACATTGACCCGAGCCCGCCAAATTAAAGCCCAACACTTGCTTGTTTCAATTGCAAGTGATGGACCACAAAGATTATTATACCTAGTAGAGTATATTTTAGAAACACAAATTATAGTGTGGATATGTCTAACGATTAGGCAAATCGGCCTAATATTAACGATTAGGCAAATCGGCGTAATATACTTTCTGAACTAAAAGCAGGTCTATATTGAAAAATATCATACTTTTATTTTGATTATTCTCTTAATGACATTACTTATTTACAACAGTATACATAGTTATTCAGAAAAAGGTGTTAACTATCTGGCAAATATATCTGCCTAGCAGCAACCTAAGCCTGTAAACGAGTCGAGTCGAACTTTAGCTTAGGGTGCTCAGGCTTGAGCTCGAGCACTTAACTAGCCAAGTCGAGTTTGGCTCATTAAATAAATGAGGCAATAATTGAGCTCGAGCTCGAGCTCGGCTATCACTATTAATGAGCCGAGTTCGAGCTGATCTCGAGCTTTAATGAGCTGAACTTTAGAAAATTGTATAAAAATTCTTTTTCGAGTCTTATCTAGTCGAGTCGAGCTCGTTAACCAAACGAGCTCTAAATGTGCTTGAGCTCGGCTCATTAAGGCCTCGAACTTGAGCCTTAACGAGCCGAGCTCGTTAACCAAACGAGATTTAAATGTGTTCGAACTCGGTCAGCTCGTTGAGGCCACAAACTCGAGCCGAACTCGAGCCTTA